GGGGAACCTGCCTCATTGGGGGTTGAGTACCGCACCGTTTTATAGCCCGGCGGCTGTCGAGGTAATCCCGTTTTTTGGGCCCGGCGGCCAATGCATCAGTTGATTCTATGGATGTGTCAAAGACTTCCAGTGGAAATCCGGTGAAGGGTGGCAAGTTGGGGTGGATGATTTCCTATGCAAAGACGGCGCCCCTGTGACGGGGATCACACTCAGCACCCGAGTGGGACGGCTGAGCGAAACACACTCTGACAATTGTATTCAGTTAACTCAGTTACCACGATGGGAAGGATGGCGGTGGAACAGCATGGCGAAAAGTCCGAGAAATTGTAGGTGTTTGAACAATGGTTGTTTCCCTTGACTGCGGTGACAAGCTGTAAAACGCGCGGCTGCTGAAAGTGGCTGAGAAAACTGTTTGGGGGTGGTAGCATGAAACACCATGAAACAAAAAGCAGAAAGTGGAACGGCTTGATCAACAGTTGCGTCGCAGGTACAGGAAACTGGCCAAGTTTCCCTTCCCACTCTTCTCCACAGCTTCGTTGCGTGTGATAGGAGAAGAGTGTCACACGTTGTGGGACTGATTCCCCTGCTTGGGAATCGGTGGTGAAGGTTGAGAACCCTTTGTCCAGGGGTGGACACACACACAACACACACAACAAACAGCGCAACCACAAACACAATGACAAGCACACAACAAACAACGCACAGCCACAAGCAAAATCACAAGCACAGCCACAAGCATAACCACAAACACAACCATACACACAACGCACCGCCACAAACACAATCACAAACATGCCCACAAAGACAACCATAAACACAGGCACAACACAAACAACCACAAACACACATTACACACAACAAGCACACAGCCGCAAACACAATCACAAGCACAGCCCGCAAGCAAAATCGAGAACCACAAAACCCGCCACCATGGCAACGTGCTCGTCGCAGTGGCATGAAAACAGCTGATTGAAATGTCATGGTGGGGACCACTTGAAGTAAAGTAATTGTTTTATTAGACAACCCCTAGATACAACTCCGCAAGGCTTGCAGACACCGTAAACGGTGTTGGTGCTGAAAGTGGTATTGTTTGTCCCTTCTTGTTATTAGGCGCTTTTGTTATTTGTTTGTCCTTGAGCGCTGGGGCACGGTGGGCCTGTGGATCATGGCGGGGAACACTGTTCTCAACCGTGAGTCCGGTGCACAATGGGTCTGTTGAAGCGGTCGGTGATAGGTTTATTCTCAATCAAACCAAACAGGAGGTGGGGTGTGACGCATGGGGCTCAGAGTTTCTTTTGAGATTCACCACCTTAACGTGTCCTGGTAGTTGTCAGTCGGTTAGCCCTTGTGGCCTCTATTGCATCCCATCTCACGGCCACGCTGACCCGGTCTTGTGCCACAGGGCCCTTGTGAAAGGAAGAGAGGTGACGTGAGATGACCTAGGCAAGCAAAACCGCCTGGAAGACTTGGCTGGGGACAACATAGACCAGGGCCATTGGATCTCCAAAAAGATAAGGTCCGAAGTGTTCCTAACTGCTGAGCCCAACGGTGAGATCTTCAACTGGCGGCTCGAAACTCAAGTGTAGGATTCCGGATACTTATGAAAGTGTCGAACTCGGCCGCTCTGCAGGTGGTTGGGGTGGAGGCACGGCTGGGGTGGAGCTTTGCTGAGGGGGTTAGGCTTTTGGACAATTTATATTCTGCAGAACTTGCCACTTCTTGGAGCCTCCAAGCAGCTTGTAGCTAAAGGCAGGCTGAATGCCAGAGGAACAAGCTGAAGACACTTTACGCTGCCATGCGCAAATCGCATCATGAGGGTCGAGGGTCTTGTTGCACGGTACATAGAGGGATGTGCCCCATATAGTCATATTGTTATTCATGTGAGAAAGACTGCTCCATGTTGGATCAGATCCCGTATCCACTCTGTTCGACGAGTGCCGCTCGGGTCCCGCTTCTTAAGAGATCGTCCGATTTAAGCAATGTTTTCGGTGTTTGGGCGTTCCCTTTTCCTTTTGCACGGATGCTCAAAACGTGGACAGCAGAGTCAAGGCACTTGTATTGCAGATATTGAGTGTATACTGGTCTACATATATATGGTCACTATCTCATGTTGATGAATTGATCGATGGGTTCTGAAGAATTCTGGGTCAAGGTTCATGAGTCTAGTTTGGTGGCTGCCCGAATTGTTTCGGGAGCTTCGCTTTTGGGGCGCATCCTCCGGTTGTCCTTGGGGCGGTATCCTCCTAGCCATATTTGTTTGCTGCGCTTGGTGTTTCCTGGCTGGCCTTTTAGCTTGGGCTTGCATCTTTTCAAGTGGCTGCCGCAGAGCTATTCTGGTGATCATCCGCGTTTTCGCATCCGAGTTTCATCCTGGTAACCTTCATCCTGGTAACCTTCAACCCTTGGATTTGCGAAACCGACTAGCCCAGTACCGCCATTAGTGGATTAGCCTTGGTGACCTTGAAGTTGAACTGGTCACCTTGCTGTTAGCTGGATTAGAGATCACTTTGATAGCTACGTGAGTCGGGATCAGTGCAGCAGTTGAGCAGAGAGGAAAGCCGGAAGATTTTGTTGACCCTTACAATATCAGTGAAGTGTGGAAAATCAGTGCATTCAAGCCACCAGTCCTGAGCACTTGGCTCGACTCATTTTTCTTTTTCTGAAACACTTGGTGAGGAGATTGTGTGGGTGGTTGTAAGTTGACACAACTTGCCTGCATCCATCGAGCATTCCGTGCTGGAGTGTTGGCATGGCCCCTAAGGCTACCTCATTGAGCGCCCTATGTCAAGCAGACGCGGAAGAGCTGGTGCGGAAAAGTTCCGTTGGGAAGGCGTTAGCTGCAATAGTGTTGCCTCTCGCCGGAGCCAGTGCATCGGGCTCAGTGGATTCAGCGTGCGCGTGTCATTTGGTCTATGTCAGACCAGGTGGGTGTTTGATAGTGGTGCCAAACCAGCCAGATGTGATTGCATGCCTCACCGAATTAGAATCAGAAGATGGAACGGCCACTTTCGAGGGCCCCATAGCAGTCGAGTCAAGTCGTGGTCAAGCACTAGGCACAGCAGAAGCTTGTCTGGTAGATTTGCCTTGGGGGGTCATCGGCAGTTTCTTTTCTGGCTCAACACTCAGAAGTGCTCGGTTCAAAATGCTTCGCTTGTCCAATTCGAAATCGAAGGCCGAGTTGGTCGCCCAACCAAGTCCAGTGCGAAAGATCTTGCAGATACTTGGATCGATTCAGAAATGGATCCCGCAGCAGCCCAAGAATACCACACTGCCGAAGAGGGTGCGGAGCCCGAGGAGCCGTGTCTCGAAGTTCCCCGTCACGGACTGGTGCAACCTCACCAGGAACAGGCCTCGGAGACAGAGGGCGACCTCACCATGTTGTCCATGCAACGGCGCATCGCCGAACTGGAGGTGGAGTTGAAGAACCGAGGGCCAGCACGAGTCCCAATGATGCCTTCCCTTCCCAGCAAGACTCCCCCATTGTTCAACTCACCGAGCCGTCCTTCAGTGCTGCTTCCCGAAGAGATGCACCGGCTGCAACAGCTAGCCGGCGTTCCACCGCCTCGAGCAGCCTTGGCGGAGACTCGCAGGAAGTCAGTCAACTTCCCAGTGGATCTGCAAGACAGTGCTTTGGCGGAGTTGG